TTTTCATTTATTTATTACCTTGGTCTCTTGAGGACCATCAGTCTAGTACTGGTACAAATGTTACAACGACTATAGTTACAACAACTATAGGGTTATTACAAAGAATAATTATAATAGTAATAATCGCAATCATAATCATCATAACAATAATAATAGTACCTGTAGTAAATTAAATACATGAGTAAATACATGAATTAAATAAATAAACTACTTAAATAAATCAAATTAAATCAAATTGAATCAAATGAGATCAGATTGGATCAAATTAGATTAGATCTCATGCCAAAGCCTTCCTGCTTGGCTAAGATATCGTGCCAGGTTACATAATACTTTCTTACTGGAAGAATTCAGCAGGAGAACCAATTTGAACACCGAGGGTCTATTACAATGGAAAGGTTTGATGAACCTTTTTCTTAAATCTAAATATCTAGAGCAACCCAGTATAAAGTGGAATTCGTCCTCCACATCATTGCAATAGGAACATTTTCTTTGTGAAATAGGGATTTTACTGTATCTGCCCGTTTCAATTGCAAGTTTATGGGATGATAATCTTATTTTACTAATCATTTTCTTAAACTGGAGCGGGATTGGTTTTGTAAGATAAATTTGAATAGTAACACGGTCGATGAGGTGTCTATAGAGCCAGCACTTTCTCGAGTCGTTAATTTCTGACAATATAGCTTGTTGTTTAATATCCATTAGTTTTTGATATACTAGAGGTACAATAATTTTATCATAATTACCTTGATAGAGAAAAAAATCATTAAGACCAGTTTCTGTAAAAACATCATAAATCTTAGAGTCTCTGACCGTCTGTGGGCATGATTTTTCTACCTTTTTTATGTGGCACTTCATTGTCTTGTTTCAGGCATTTTATGGAGTAAATTAAGTAATAACATGACAAAGCTTTGGGCATAATTTCATTTTCATATAAAATCTGCTCATAGTAATTCTGCATACCAGGTTACATACAACGCCTGTATGTTAGAAAAGAGTAGCACTTATGAAACAAAGTGGCACAATTGTATTACCCTCCTCAATGCAACAAATTACCATTATTGTACTTGCAGTGTATAATAACTCCTATAAATCTTATACCTTATTACCTACTGCTTTATACTAACATACTGATACTGATAGTTTATTTCATAGGGACATTTATGTCATTGGTATGGTACAACAATAAAATATATGATAATGTCATAATAATAATAACAACAATGATGATAATATTAATAACAATGAAAATGATAATAATCATCATTCCTCTTCGTCCCGTGTGGGACATAAGGCCACAATGATAATAATAATGCTAATAAATTAAATATGAGACTTAATTTAAGGATGAGATTAACAGGGTGGCGACCTTCTTAAGTGGATATACCAACATGTTGCATATCAATAGAAAGCTTATTTCAACTGCTTTTCATTTCGTATTCTTATTTTATTATGTAACCATTACGTAAGGAGACATCACACTTTCTAAATCATCCTTCCCATCATCCAACCATCCATCCTCCACTGACAAACAACTAAATCTGTTTCGTAGTGGAATTAGAGGAAAACTGACACTCTGTGCTTTCTTCTTCTTACAACTGGTCTTGGGCTTTGATTTTAATCTTTTATTGGCAAGTTCTCCTGAGTGAAAGATCTTGATTTCATTTTTTTTCGTAGAAGAGAATTTTTTTTTGGTACTGTTTTGTAAATTTTTGATGCTTAGGTAGTGACACACGACGTGGACGAGATGTATTGATGGGCAAACCTAAAAATGACAATGTGATGGATAATTTTGGCAAAGAAGGTCATTCCTCTTCAGTATCTTTGACAGTGAAATCCTCATCAGGAATAAAGATGGAAGACATGACTTATTATGAAATAAAGTGAATGGAAATGAGAGAAGTTATAAATAACTGAACTATCTAGAAACTGTCATGAAATATAAAGTAGATGAAAAAAGTTATTGCTTTAATATCACAATTTTATTCAATAAAATAAGCTGGAGAGGAGGTGGAATGAAATTAGCTCAGATGTGAATGAAAAATGGTACAAAAAGGAATTGACAGAGTGAAAGTTAGAAATAGATGTGAGCACATTACATATACTAGCAGAGTGGCATCTGAGAAGGGATTGTGGGTGAATGATAATATTTTTTAAAAAAAAAGTTTGATTACAGTGACACTTAAAAAAAGACTTCACTGAAATATACTGACAATGACAAAAGAGCTGTGCTTCTTTTTGGAAAATTGCACTTTCTGCATATGGGAGCTGCATATTTGTGACTGCCTAATGAAAAGTCCCGGATTTGTATGTTGCATCTGTCGTACAAAATGCATCTAGCTGCTATAGTGTGGAAGATTTTTTTATTCCTTTTGTCTTTGTGTCTGCTCACTTGGAATTAATCTTACTCTTGCATTGGAAATCAGCACACAAAAAAATCTCATTAATGTTGTATGTACCAGCACCTCTCAAAAAGTCAAAAATCCACCAATAGCCAGAAAATTCTCAACAACATTGTATTTTCAGGCAAGTGACTAAGGGTCAT